ACCAATTACAGGTCAGCATCACCCACACATGTAAGCTGAAAAGTTAATCCCTGCACAAAAGATTTAATAGTTGAAGTATAAAGCAAACGGAAAGAAATGGATGCAATAAATAGACTACAAGTAAGAACAGAATTATCAGAAAAATAATACCGGATAGACATAGCAGAAGTACAGCAGCTGAGACAAGTTCACATGTTTTGCCAGGTTTTGCAAGAGAAGAGAACAGCATGGAAGCTTTGTGGATTTGCATCCAGAGCTCTCTTCCAAGCAAGAGAGACAGCACTAGAGAAAGCACTGAGATGACAAATGACAAAGACTACCATAGCAGGCAAAGGACAAGCAGGAGATGATGATGTGACATCCAATCAGACGACAGGCAAAATGAGAACAAGTCAAACTAGTATCTGATGTAGTAAAAAATATGTCAGCAGGAGCTGCAAAAAGACAGGTAATATAATCAAAGCAACAAGCAAAAAGATGACCTTTGCACCACCTTTCTAAACATATTTAAAGAGAATGATATGACATGAAAAATGAGGGTATGTATCAGATTTTTATCTTCAGAGATTAGAACAAAAGCTAGGACTTGCAGATTTTGGAAAAGCATCTGCTTTCTGTAGTCTCAGTTGACAGCATTCATCTATAACTACAGAATTCTTTGAAAAAGCAGAGAAAGATAACTGATTTGACACCTTCCAACTATCTTGACAATTGCTGATGGATATAATTTTTTAAATCAGGTAGGTTTTCCCCCAGAGAAGTGCAACATCTTCAAATTATTTTTTAAATTGATTTCCTAGAAATTTCATGATCTTCGGTGGTTGACTGATTTCAAATTCAGAAGCTCATACCTCTTTAAAAAGCTTAGTAGGTACTGCAATAGCCTTTTCTTCCTCCAGATAGGATGCCCAACACCACATTTGCCTTCCTTTAGAGGGTACAGCTGAAAAGAAGCACACAATAGCAAAATAATTTAGTAACTGTAAACTTCTCAAGAAATAAAAGACACAACACTTGAAGCTTATACAATACCCATCTCAAATCTACATTTTATTAAATGTATTCACAGTGTTTTCAGGACTTATTTCAGGAAAGGAAGTAAGTTTAATGGCATCAGGAACATGAAGGTTCCTGATTTGTACAGAAAGGTTTCTAGCAGTTCAAATCTTGATTAGTAACAAGTCAAAGCTCTTTCAAGTGATAAGAACAACTTACAAAGTCTTGTTCTCTGTCCTTTTTGCCTTATTGCTTATAAGGAGCAATAGCATATACAACTTGCAAATATGTAAAAAGAGCACTTCAAATCACAAAGTTGCTCAATATTTTAATTTTTTTTTTCCCATTAATTTCTTTTCCTGGAAAGCTTTTTCAACTGGATAGCACTCATGGTGGTTTTTTTCAGTTGAAATAGTTTATTCTTTTACAGTATTCAGAATGTTTCTAACCTACTAAATCATTTTGTAGCTTGATGTTTTTGGGTGGAGAGACAGTAATTTAAGAGTAATTTCTCCAAGCCATCAAAACTGTCACCAGTGCTTTTTTCCCTCGTCATGTCATCAGCATATGACAGAAACCTCCGGTTTCAGGTGTATTCATATAGTATGGACACTTGCATACAGCTGCATAGTAATTTTAGTATTTGCTACAGTCCATCTTAATACTGGCTACAGCGACATCAGTGAGTAATAGTTTTTAGGCCTTGAAAATGAGGCAACAACTGCACTAGCAAAAGCCAAGAATGTCAAAAACAGATGGCTTGTGAGGCTGGCCATGTATGTATCTACTTTCATACACCTCCACTCTGCTTTACTGATCTTCCCCTAAAATGCCTTCTCTGGACGTGCAGGTTAGCATTTCAGTCCATAAGCTCATGCTACCAGGATTCCTCATATTCTTCAGTATGATCCTGGCCTGATCCTGACTGTGGGCTACTCACAAGAGAAATAAGCCCCTTAAGCAAGTCTGGCTAAGCCCTGTTATGATTAAAACACAAACCATAACAAAGATGATGCCAAACTCACCTGAAGAAAGCTGATAGTGTAACCAAAAGAGAACAAATTTCAGAATCACAGCGATCGCTCAACACTATCAAAGCACATTCATTTTATTTGTGAATTACCCAGTTTTTATCTATTCTATTTAAGGGATGTGTTGCTCAGCACAATAATATACAGATATATGATTGGTTCTGAATATAAGCTGGTCTTTTATAGCAAATCTCTTGTGCTGAACTGACAATTTCTCAAAAAAACCCCAACCAACCAACCAGAAGAAATCCGCACAGATCATTCTGTCAGTGGACAGCAGTGATTTCCATAGGCTTTGCACTTGTATGTCACATACTTATCACTTCAGCTTTGAAAACCACTGTAGAAATAGTATTTATAATTCTGAAGTAATTCTGTCTCGAGAGGGGGATCTTCTAGAACTTTAAGTGTTACATCTTCAATCAGTATCTCATCTGCCTAGTGTGCAGCAGAGTTCTGTGCTAATCAGTGGTCCAGAAACTTCTGGTAATGGCTCCCAGTCTACTATAAGAAACACTTTGGAGGGCAAGATGTAGGTTTGTGCTTGGGGTACTACTGAGGTGTAATAGCTGATTCTCTGATTCTTCCTAAAAGTATTTATCATACAAATAGCTTGAAAAAACAGTACTCATTTCAAATATGTTTTATCATGCTGCTTGATGCAGCATATGTCCCTTTGGGCTGATTGTAGCAATTATTCCTAAACAGTTCCATAAATGTGTCTATTTCCAGCACGTATTGTAGATATGGAACTGATCCCCAAGGAAACAAAAGTAAACTTTCACTTTTGCTTAATATGTGTCTTTCAACATCTGGGACTCAATGGGCTCAACTCCCTTTAATACCAGCACTCTTTAGAAGGACAAAAAAAACCCACCTAAAATGTGCATCAATTATATTTACACTCACTATATCCTCCTCCATGCTACCAGAGGTATATAAACTGGTTCTTTGTCTCCCAGTGATGGGTTATTTTCCCAGTTTTCTCTTGGCTCTCAGTTCTTCAATCCTTAAAACTTAATTGCTATAAATAACACTGGCACTCTCTTTTTACAGAACTGACAAAGATGTATTTGATAGGGAATACAAATTCAGTGAAACAATGCTGGTAATTCACAATACAAGATGAATATCACCGAAAGAACTGATAGTTGAGATTTTTGTTTCATAATCTAACTTACTTTGTTTCAAAACTGTTATTTCCCCTTTTCTTTTTCTCCTGGCTCTCTGTGAGACTCTCAAGATCCTTCCTTCAGGTTTGTCGTCCTAAATGAAAAAAAGGAGTACAATAATCTCATCAGTAAAAATTGAGACACCCAAGGTTTACCTGTGACTTCATTTAAATGGGTACTGACATAGCTGTCCACTATCTCAAACAACCTGCAGATGTCTAATAAAAACAAAGCGAGCCATCAGTGGTGAACCACAGCAAACAGGGTGAAAATGACAGACAGAAGGACTCTCAACAGCCAGCACTCAGCCAGACTCATCTAAGCCATGGACAGATCAGCAAGCCTTCAGCAGGCCTAGCTGAGCCAGAGATAAATAGCAGTATCTTTGACATGTTGACGCTTTCAAAATAATTTAAAAGAAAGCTTCCCGCAGCTTTAGTCTGCTTCCTTTCAGATTACAATTGCTTTATTAAATATAAAATGGCACTGATTCTTTTTATTTATTTCATTGTTTAACAGTTTTGTAAGCACCTGAATAGATGAACAGAATAAGTATTTATTTGGGAGGGCAGATGCGTGGAGGCAAAGATGATGTCCCCTGACCTTTGCTTAAGATACTGCTATACAGAGAGCTATGAATTCCCTTCTGACAACTCTAGAGCCCTCAGCCTTTTGACAATTTGGCAGCTGGAGAGCTCTCGCCTTCTCCCTCAAAACTCTTCCTCCCAGCAGAACCATAGTTATTGGGAGGAAAACAAACATTACAGGAAAATGAACATGATGGGAAGGTACAGTGATAAGTTTATTCTAAAATGAAGAATAAATTAAAAAAAAAGGTGCTCCAAAGCACATTTACACTGCAACACAAAACAAAACCAAATCCTTAGCTATAATTTTCTAAGGCAAATTACACTAAGAAAATCAAAAGTATCCTCTTCTCAACGGTAATGTAGTTTTCTTTCTAAGTAAATTATTGGTCTACAGTCATTTATTCATGTGAAGAGTGACAAAGTAGCAGGTGTTGGGAAATATGTACTCCTATTTTTCCATGCTGAAGACAGAGCAAGTCTAGGTTTGCAACATTTTTCCTTTGAATTATTGTTGTTCTGTCCTTAAAAAAAGGAGAGAAAAGAGATAAAAACCCAGCTCTTATCAGTTCATTTTCAATAATTAAAAATTACTGATGAGGCATAATTAAATTGGCAGGTAAACCAACTACTTCTTGTGGCTCTGATAAGAGTGACACCATCACTTCTTTTTGTAGACTGATGAAGTTACAGACATTGCAACATAATGCAAAACTCCCACTGAAATACTTGTGGGAATAGGTTTATGACGCATACTAACAGTTTCATCAGGATTCTCCTTCTTCTCTCCATTATCCCTGGGCTCTTCTTTGAGAAGTAACTTTGCTTTTCTTTTCCGAATGCCTTTGGAATCGTCTTCCCCATTGCATTCGACACTGAGATTTTCCTCCTTTGGTTCTCTGTTACAAGAGAAACACAATCACACAAAGCCAGTATTATTTCACTTCTCATATTCATAAAACAAGTAAAAAGTGAGTAAATCTGAAGGTCAAGTGTTTGTAAGACCCAGGGTGTTATACTAAATATATTCTTAGAAATGCTACTGAAAATTACATCTGTCAAAATAATTAATCTGGAAGACACACAATAGCAACTGCAAAAGGAAAGCCGTCAGTTTACGCTGAACAAGTTCTATGTGTTTGAAGCAGTGTGTCTTTTCCCATGTACCATCAAGTCTCACAGAGAAGCAAACTGTGAAATGCTTAGGACTGCAGGGCAGTTTACAGAAAGGAAGGCAAAGGTAATTGTTAAGACTGACAAATCCAATTGGAGAAAGTTGGTATGTGACTGTAGAAACTGCTAAACAAGAAATCAGAAAAGACAACTTGGAAGCAATTAGCTAAAAATTATGGAAAATGCACAAAATAATAGATGTTAAAAACTGCCATCACACAGTAATATGCAATACAAAACGGACATACTAACACAATCCTTCTTTTATGATGAGATGAACTAGCTGAAAGAAAAGGAACAGAGAAACTACAGTGTGCCCGTGTTTTCACTTACTGTCATCTATAACACAGCTCTTGCACTTAATTATAATTAACTTACCACACCAACCATCTCATTACTGATTATCTTAATTCTAATGATTATGAAACAGGGTGGGAGTGTGACACTGATTCATGCATCCCATAGACTGTTTTATCGCTTGCATCTGACAAAACACAGCACTCTCTGAGCAAAAAAGATTGCCTTCAGTATCAGTCTTAGACAAAACTAAATGTTGTTAATGCATTTACATGAAAAACAGTAAAAGAACATTATAAACCAATGGAGACTCCCCAAAAACATGGATGATTAAAATATCTCCCTTTGTCCCATCATTAACATTTTATCCCACCACTTTGATCTCATGCATTTATGCCAAATTCTTTGTTTCTATGCTTTACAGTAGCACCTACTTGTTTTTTACTTGCTGGGCACACTTCTGGCTGCAAAATTTCCCTTCAGGAACAAATTCTTCTATGGTACCACAGCGGTAACAGTTTTCACAGAAAACAAGTCCATCCATTTTCGCAGTTTCCTTCAACCTTGTGGGGATCCCTGACTTTTCTGAAAAGGCTGAACAATGAAAACAAGTAACTTCACTTAGGTAGAGGTGATACATTTCCAACCACCCTCAGCAGGCTTTGCCGACCAACAGAAAACTGGAGGTCACATCACCCTTGTTAGAATACAGAAGTGGGAACTGGGTTTTCATATTGCAGCTCTAGAGAGAGGAATCCACCGATTTCATGCTTCTGTTATCACTGCTACATCGACACTGCTTGATATGGCTACTCGTGGAA